GGGGGGGAGTAAAAATAAGATAAACGATCATTTTTTGAGGACCTTGAATTCTAAAGAAAGCAGTTCATACTTTGGAAGTACTTCTGTGGGAAAGTTTGAGAAAAACTGTTCAAAGTAATTTTTCTGTCTACTCGTTCATTTGTGCCATATACAATGATGGCAGTCATTGTGCGGCTGTGGCACATGTACATGACACATCTTGATTCTTTTTACTTCCCCTTGCCCTCCCTTCCTTCCTCTTCCATCTCTACTTCCCCATTTGCAGAGGATCTGTCTCCTATTTCATAACATCTTTTATTTTGCTCTTTAACAATATACAGCAAAAAATACAAAAATTATGGAAAGCTTCACATATCTGTGTATCTCCCTCTCCAGGGGCAATGCTAGTCTTTTCTGCCTAGTTCCAGTTTTAGCATGCATAAGCACAAGTAAATTAAGCTTGGAACAGCATGGTGACATTCGGAATTGGACAAGTGATGGGTGCCGGTGGCCCTGTGATATGTCAGAGCACCTGTCAGACATGGCTTCTTATTCAGTGGAGAAGAATGAACTAAAAAGAAAGAAGAGGAGACTCAAGGAAGGGAAAAGACCCAAATTACAGTGATTAAGAGCCTGGATGATAAAAAAAAAATAAAAGAAAAAAACCAGAAAAAGCCTGGATGACTGGTTAATGAGGTTTTTTTTTCCCCAAAGGATGGTAATTGAGTATTCTATTTTGTGATTTTATGGGAAATACACGAAGTTTTCTTTTTTAGAATAGATGCACTTTCTTTCTCCTAAAACAAGCATAATGAGGCAAAATATTTGAGAGAAAACAAGTAAGACAAAAGTACAGGTCTTGGAGGAAGAAACCTGACATTTACCAAGAGTTTGGGGAGATAACATGCTTAATGATGCAGTCCATGACATGGATCTGTAAGGTGTCTATGTCAGGCAGGACCTCCCCACACTTGGGGCAAGAATGGATCGGAATGCTCCAGGTTTGCTGTTCCTGCCAGTTCCTATTGTCAGCTCCTCTTTGAACAAGGTCAGCCTGCTGGTCAGGGTCACCGGTTCTCACCCCATGCCAGCTCTGCATTTCCATCAGGGACTGCCTGCCATCATCTTCAAAAGCGTTGTTCTCTCTCAGCAAAATTGGGAGCTGCAATGCCAGTTGCTCCCTTTCTTCATGAATCTTCTCTCTTGCTGCTCTTTCAGCATGAAAATCAGCACAGTAAACCTCCATCTGAGCCCTGAGCACTGCAGTGGTGTCCAGGTCCTCCTCCTGCTTGGCAATAGCCTGCTTCATCTCATCCATCTGAAGCTGCTTGGAGGCCAGGGCCCTCTCTGCCAGCTCTAGTTTTTCATTTAGTTCCCACAGCACCGCCTTATCCATCTTTTCTGACTCTTTCCTTGTTCCTCAATTGTCATCAATGCATTAGTATGTTCTTGAAGAAGCTTATTGTGTGTTAACTGCAGAATGGCTAACTTGGACTTTTCTTCTTCAGTTTTTGCTTGCTCCATCTTGATTTCTGACTGCATGCTCTCAACTTGGAGCTCTAACTTATTATTATTATACACCAGCTCTTGCTTTTCACTCAACTCTGACGGAGTTGCAGAATTTTTCCTTTCAAGGGCCTGGCACTTTTCTTGAAGTGTCTTCTTCATTAGCTTAGCTTCACTGAGTTTTGTATGAGCCTTCTGAAGCTCCTTAAATAGGGATGTCATCTGAAGGTTCAACATTTCCACTTCACTTCCAGTAGTCTCTGTGTCTTTCTCTTCTTCATTCTCTTTTCTGTGTTCCCCTCTATCTGGGTCTCAATCTCAGAGTGATCATTTACTTTCTTTTCAAACTCTGAAATTCTGTAATCCCAGCTACTTGAGAGGCTGAGGCAGAAAAGATCACAAGTTCAAGGCCAGCCTGGGCAACTTAGTGAGATCCTGTCTCCAAACAAAATAAAAGAATATAAAATAAAATAAAGGGCTAGAGCTGTAGCTCAGTGGAATAAAGCTTGCCTAATATGCATCAAACCCTGGGTTCAATCCTCATTACTGGGAAGAAGAAAGAGGAGGAAGGGAAGGAGGAGAAGGAGAAGGAAAGCGGTTAATGGTTTTGTTTATGTTGTTTTAAGAAATAAGAACAACCTGAAGAGAAACTAGCATAAAGACATCAATGTCAAGGTTGGCTGTGGACCCTGATTTAAGCTTCTAGATATAAAGTTGGGTAGAACTATGTGCTTGTAGTTGAAATGTAGCCATGGTACTCCAATTGCAGATTCTTTTTTATTTTTGGCAGTACTGGGGATTGATCCCAAGGCCTTTTCACTGAACTATATCCCCTACCCTTTTTATTCTGTATTTTGAGACAGGGTTTCACTTAGTCACTAAATTGCCCAGGCTGTACTCAAATTTCCAATCCTCCTGCCTCAGCCCTCCATAGTGCTGGAATTATAAGCATGTGCTACTGCACCTGGCTGCAGAATCCTCTTTATTGAAAAATTTTAAAAAGGCAAACCTCTTTCCCAAAATCTGGTACTATGAGGTTTCAGAGAAGTGAGTTTCTCAAAGGAAAGGGTTACAGATTGTGGTTAAAAAAAAGAGAAAGAAATCAATGTGGAAAAACAAACATTTAATTATTATTGACTTAAAACCAAAATGTTTAGAGGTGTTCCAAAGATGCAGTCAAATGTGATAACCAAAAGGAGGCAACAGGGGAACCACACAGCATTTGAGGGCTGTCATGGAAAAGGTGAGTTGGCAACTGTCCATATGGGGGTCTCTCTATAGACTTTCAGGTATGGGGAAGGAAGCCCTGAGCAAGGCATTGCTGGGCTTGGTGGCTGCGTATGGAAGGCCAGAGATAAGGACAGTAAAAGAATTTACCAAGAATGCAGTGAGTGCGGAAGGAGCTGGCTGAAGTCAGAGGCAGCAAGGTGGTAAGGCTAGCAGAGGGGATGCCTGTCAGGGTGTGGATGGGGTGGGTCTGATGTGGGCCGCTGCTGACTCCATCCTTGGTTGTGCAGGGCAACAGACCACAGAGCGAGGTTGTGTTCCTGGGAAAGTTTGTGTTTGGGCTTCTTGAATGTTGGTTGTCAGGCATATACCCAGGGCCCATGTGTGAGAACTGTTCTCATTGTCCTACTGTCTGCAATGAAGTGTTTTCATTGTACTCTTGTCCACAGCAGTGACTAAGGAAAAGAAAAGGAGGTGTCAGAGACATTCCAGTTCCAAAAGAAATAAGACTTGGGTACCTGCCCAAAAAAGGAGGCCAATAACAGAAGAAAGTTGAAAAAAAAAAAAAAACCCTCCTATTAAGAGCCTGAGAGTCAGTTCAGAAGTATGGTTTTGGCAACATGAGGGAGCTTGCCCCAGTTAACTCTGTCCAAACATATAAAGGATGACTAACTAGGCCAGTGCTTCTCAAGTGTGATTCCCAGATCATGTAGTCAGCATTACCTGCGAAAAATGCAAATCCTGAGGGTGCAAGGTGGTGTGCTCCTGAATTCTGCTCTGGAGGCCAAAGCAGGATTGTGAGTTTGAAGCCTGCTTGGGCTATATAGTGAGACCCTGTTTCAAAACAAACACACAAACAAAACAAGAAGAGCAAATTCTCAAGCCCTCCCCAAGACTGCTACATTAGAAACCATGGGAAAGACCCAACAATTTGTGGTTCCAGATCTCCAGGTGATTCCAGTTACACATTTAAGTTTGAAAACAGAGCTAAGCCAGGCAAATGTTTTTCTTTCTCCTTTCATCTACAGAGAGAATTTGTTGATTGTGAGAAAAGAAGAAAAAGTCAGCTATAGAAAGATTATGAGTAAGCTGAAATTATGAGTAAGCAGAAGCCATGACCAAATGAGGTGGTCGATGGAGTCACAGGGACAGAGAGGGATGATGTCACACACCCTCATGGCTGGAGAGCCTCACATCTCCTGCAGCTCAGTGACACCTTAGCTAAGCCAGCCCTTACTGTGCATGGAATCTTCACTTCCATGTTTCTCTTCCTTCCAACTCGAGTCCTGCTCTACTGAAATTCCTGGGTTCCTGTGATGTTCTTACCTCCCTGTTCTCATGAGTGTCCTTGAATAGACATCCCAGTACTTGAGGTGGCCTGAATAAATCTGTGTTCCTAAGGCATGAAAAGCTGATGCAGTTCCAAAGGACACTGGGCAAGAATTGGCTTGGTGTAGCACCTATTTCCATTTTTTTTTAATGATGATGATAAATAGTCATCTTTTTTTCTTTTTTGGTACTGGGGATCAAACTTGGGACCTTGCACTTGCGAGGCAGCCGCCGGAACCACTGAGCTAAATCCCCGGCCCCTATTTCCTTTTATTAATTTAAACTTTCACGCAACCTTTGTTTTTCCCCTAAGTACTGGCCTTTACACTGAGCTACATCCCCAGTATTTTTCTATTATTTTTTATTTTGAGACAGGATCTCATAAGTGGCTAGGTTGCCCATGCTGGGCTCCAACTTGCAGTCATCTTGCCTCAGCCTCTCATAGTGCTGGCATTACAGGCATGCATCATCATACCCAGCTTTTAAATTCTTTTTTAAAAGTAACAGCTGGACATGGTGGCAGATGCCTATAATCCCAGCACTTGGGAGGCTGAGACAGGAGGATCCCCATGAGTTCAAGGCCAGTCTAGGCTACATAGGGAATTCAAGGCCAGTCTGAACTACATAGCATGACCATGTCTCAACCCCACACACACAAAAAATTGTTTTTTAAATGTATTGCCAGGTGTGATGGTACACGCCTGTAATCCCAACACTTGGGAGACTGAGACTGGAGGATCACTGTGGGTTCAAGGCCAGCCTGAGCTACATAGCAAGACCTTGTTTTAAACAAAACAAACCCCAAAAGTGTATTATCTTAGATAGTTTTATTAAGTGTATTCAACAAATTTCCAGAACTTTTTCATCTTGTAAAGAATGACGTGTGTGTGTGTGTGTGTGTGTGTGTGTGTGTGTGTGTGTGTACCAAACTCCCACTTGCACTGGCAAACTGACACTTGAGTTTACAGTTGGGGATATTTTTCCTCCCTCACCCTTGCCCTCACCCTCACCCCCTCTCTCATATTGGGAATTGAACCCAGGGCCTTTGCACAGACCTACATCACAGCCCTTTTTATTTTATTTTGAAACAAGTTCTTGCAAAGATGCCCAGATTGGCCTCAAATTAATTTACTTTCTTTCTTTCTGGATTAGGGTTTGAACTCAGGGTCTTTGCATTGTGCTACATACCCAAATGTACCATCCTTTTCTCTTCCTTTTCTTTCTTTCTTTTTTTTTTTTGTACCGGAGATCAAATTCCTCAGAACCTTGTGCTTGCAAGGCAGGCAGCAAAACCACTGAGCTAAATCCCCACCTGACCCCTTTCTTTCTTTCTCTCTCTTTCTTTCTTTCCTTCTTTCCTTTCTGTCTGTCTGTCTGTCTTTCTCTTTCTTTTGTGTGATATTGGGAATTGAGCCACTGAGCCCTCTCTCTCTCTCTCTCTCTCTCTCTCTCTCTCTCTCTCTCTCTCTCTCTCAGGGTGGTTGTGTTTTTTTGTTTTTGTGGTCTTTTTTTGAGACAAGATCTCACTATCTCACTATGTAGCCCAGGCTGGTCTTGAACTTGCAGAGATCCTCCTGCCTCAGCCTCCGGAATGTTGAGATTACAGGTGT